CCTTCCCGCCTCCGTCACGCGCGCCAATGGGCGCGGAGCGCTGCCGGCACCGGCCGCCTCAGAGCTGAGGGGAGCGAGGAGGCCGCGGGGCGGGCGGGCGAGCGAGGCTGGGGCCTCCGCTGGCCCCTTGGTAGCGCTTCCTGCCTGGGAGCCTGGTTGTGGTGACGGTGGCGGTGGGGACATGGAGCCTGCGGGCCCGGCGGAGCGCGGCGGCGTGAGGGAGCTGAGGTGAGCGAGGGGCTGAGGGCGGCTCGGCGTGAGGCGAGGGGCTGAGGGCGGCTTTGCCCAGGACGAGGGAAAAGTAGCTAAGTCGTTACGTAATGAGCTGGGAATTAGAGAAACTTGTGTTTGTGCTCATTAACCGGGAGTTACACTAATTGGCGATGTTACGTCGTCGTATGAAATAGAGGAGAAAAGCTGATTTTCTGATTTGGTGCTGGAGAGGTTTCGGGGGGGTTTATTGAGTATTGTTTGGGACCTTGGGACTTTGAAGAGACCTACTTGGGTTTAACGAGGGCAAGATCTACTGCACTTGCTATTAACGTATCTAGTGCCTCAAATTTGTCGTTTTTCGTGAGGAAGGAGCCTGAATAAACCTTTAGCTTGTGCTTTTACGGTGTTTTTACATTACTCCTGCAGGTTGTGTCTTCTGTGGTGACAAGTTTTGGTGTCACTGTGGGTTGGTTTGCTGGAGAAATCTGCTTAAAGGGGAGTTGAGTAGCTGTCTGTAACAGGAAAATTTAAAAAAAACCCACCAAAACACAAGCAAATACTAATATTTACTCAAAGATCTTAAAATTCACCTTAATGCAGTATTATAAACACTATGACCATAAAAAGTTCTTTGCTATCGAATCATTTTGAGCATTAGTGACACTAAATAATGTCTCCAGTAGTTTGCTCGTGTTTAGGAATGCGTTTGCAGAAAGTGAACTCGAGACTGTTCTCTAGTGGCACTGAGAGCTTCCTGAAGAGTTTGAGCAGTGTCCTCCTGCCTTTGGTGACAGCTCTTTGTGGCATCAGATAAAAATTGGTGTCACTCCAGTCTCCCCTCCTTGCTGTGGACAATACTTGTATGGCCTTGTGCAGTCATCAGGAGCATCAGCAGAGCTTTGGGGCTGCATAATGTTGCAGGTTATTTGCTTTGAAGATATTTGCTTTTCCTCACTATTTTGCAGATATTTGCTTTTTCCTCACTATTTTGCAGATATTTGCTTTTCCTAACTATTTTGCAGATATTTGCTTTTCCTCACTATTTTGTAGATATTTGCTTTTTCCTCACTATTTTGCAGATATTTGCTTTTTCCTCACTATTTTGCAGATATTTGCTTTTCCTCACTATTTTGCAGATATTTGCTTTTCCTCACTATTTTGTAGATATTTGCTTTTTCCTCACTATTTTGCAGATATTTGCTTTTCCTCACTATTTTGCAGTTATTTACTTTTCGTCGCTATGAAGTTTTCCTTGCAGAAATAGTCATAACCTGCAGTGAGACTGAATTATTAAGGATGTTCTTGAAATTTTTGCAAGTGCTTTTTTCTTTTGGTGTATATTCTAGCCCTGCAGGCTTTGCTGTGTTCTTATCAGTAGTGTGCATACTGGGCACTTTTGAGGAATTTTCATTTCCATCAGTAATGATTGGTGACTTCAATATTATTTCAGTTTTGTTTAATCAGGTAATTGTCTTATGAAATTAGTAACTGGAGAGAGTTCCCCAGAGAGTGCTACATCTCTGATGGCAGAATTAGATCTGCAGCATACATAGCTTTTTTTTTTTTTCCCTAGAAATTTGTTCTAGAATAGCTTTTGGCTGACTTCAATGAAGTCTGACAAAGAGAAACTAGTGGTGACAGAAATTATGGATCATTGAATTAGTCTGGTATGCAAGGTCGCTTTCCAGCTTTTCCACATACATTGGGTGTCACCTTGAGCAGGCAGTTGATTGTGGGATAAAAATATGACCCTAATAATGGGTGTATTGGTGGGATTCACTATTTTAACTGTCAGTGTTTATAAGGTCCTTGTAGGAACCTAAGATGGATGAAAAATTAACCACTCACTATTTTTTATGTCTTTCTGACATGTAACAAGACTGATGGTAAACTGAATCCCTTTTTAGAAGCTCTGCTGTTGAAATGACCATTTTACAAAGAAACAATAGACAAGACCTCTGGCACACGAATGTTTCTGACAGTGCTCCAGAGGAGCAGTAGCTTTCCTTGATTTTTGGTTAGAACTGTGTATTTATATGTTTGGGAGCTGGAGATCTCATTTCTGCTGGCCTACGGACAGAGGCACATGATTGATTCTAATCAGCAATAAATTCTTTTAAATCTTGAGCTTACGGAATTAACCACATTAAATCTATTATGAAGAAACAATTCACTGTGTGAGGTAGGATGTGATTCCAGCTTTTGTAACAACCCCTTCAGTGTGGTGGGAGAGCTACAGTTTTTTTCCAGCGTTGCTGCATCTACACTTGTCCTTCTGCATTAGAAGCGATGGTGAATTTCAGACAAGTGAAAACTTGATCAGGAAGACCCTTAGCCATCTGTTTCTTTTATACTTAGGATTTTAATGGACTAATCCTTCAGAGTGTAGTTCTTTTCTTTTGAGCAAATGGCATCCTTCAGTAGCGAAGATTCGTTTCAAGATTCGACATCCCTTTCCCTAAATGATTTAGAAAACCTGCACAACTTGCGCAGCCGGTCTGCGAGTCTCGGCAGCACAGGCTCCATTGGCCGCTTCCAGCTCCGTCAGCGAGTAGCCCAGCTTATGGCTTGTGTAGAGGACATCAGCTCAGATGATGAAATTCATGAAGAAGTGTCTCGCACTCTAGATGAAGCTTTCCTTATCTGGGGAAAAAAGCTGAAGGATAAGTGGCAAGAATTCAGGTTTTGTTCCTTCTAGTTGATTGTGTTTGTTTTGGGTGTGTGGGTTTTTTTTTTTTTTAATGCTAGTTAATAAATAGATTTCTGATTGATGAAAAGTGATAGAAAATCTTTGTTTTCTGCAGATAGAAATTCTGTGGGGAAATCAGATGCTCTCAGGGTCAGCTACCTGTTCTTGTTTCGATCTTAATGTTGGTTTTGTGTGATTTTTGTTTATTTGTAGATTACACATAGTTACCTGGAATGTTGGCACAGCTTCTCCACCTCCTGATGTCACTAGTTTACTTCAGCTTAATTCACTGGGCCCAACTATGGATATGTATGTTATAGGGTAAGTATATGTTAGAGAACTTGCTTTGTAAGTTTATTGCAAAACTGTTAAGTCTTAACAGCTTACTGTCTGATTTGGGAGGGCTGTGCAATGTGAATCACTGCCTAGGAGGTGCTTTAACATTATTGATAATGAAAGGTGAAGGCTGGAGTTAGTGACTTAGAACAGACATGATTTACAGCAAGAGAATCTTCTTTCCTTTCTGCTGTTGTTTTGTGACAAAATATGGAATATCTTTTTTCTAAACACACACAAAGTTTTTGGCTGCTGTTTTCTTTGTTGGAACATAGAGGCATATTCATTTTGATATGAAAGTTATCCAAGATTCAGCATGCTGAAAAGAAATTAGTTTAAGCTTATTAGGCACAATTTGCCATTGTGTTTCCCAAACTTTCTTAAAATTTTAAAGACCTGGCAGTCGGGTTATTTGTCATAACATATCTTGAGTCTAGCATTGTCTTAAACTCTGTCTTCAGGTGTATATAAACTCCTGTAACTTTGCTTTTCTCAGTGTTAGACCTGTGGATGGCTTAAACTGCTTGTAAATGGGAAACTGAGCAGCAGTAAGAACTTTCTGACAGGCTGAGGGAGGTCTGTTCGGATGTTGTGGTCTGTGTTCTGAAAATGTTATGTGAATTCTGTCAAAACCAGGTGATACAGTGCAAGTAATCTTGATGTATTCAGCTTACAGGAGGTGAACTCAAGAATCACAAATTTTCTCTCTGACTTGGCATTTGATGATCCGTGGAGCATTTTTTTCATGGCTGTATTGTCTCCATTGGGATATATGAAGGTAATTGTTTGCATCCTTTAAGTGTCATGGCAGTGAAGGAAAATGTCTTCTCTAGCTCCTTTTTTCCCCTCAAACTCTCCATGAAAGATAAATTGATGGTGTTTTTTGCAGGTGTCAGTAACTTCCACGGGTACGTGTATGTAGAAGTGATTCTTCCTCTCACTTGTGTTTTCCTGGTTTGTCGATAAGGCAATTTTATTTTTTCTCTATTAATAATGTCCTTAATTTTAGCAGTAAAAATTGGACATATGGTTTTTAATTTCTCATTTGGAATAGTTAGGCACTTTTTATGCTTTTGCAGCTCAGATGACAAACAACAAGTTGTTCAGAGCTATTGGCAACGACCCGTGTAAGTGCTGCAGAACCATGTGATGGATAGAAAAATATTCTTGTGGTAATAATACATTATCAAGAAACAGAGTAACAAAGTAATTAAAATTAAATGTAATGTAAACTTAACACTCAACAGCATATTTCTTGTGGCTGCAATATCTCTATCTCTCTCTTGTTTGTAGAAAATTTTTTTGCTCTGTGCAATATTGGGGAACTGTATTGTGATGCTTCTAATGTAGTCTGCTTAAGTACCTGCTTTCACTGTAAATGTCCCAAGCAATGGCAGTGATTTTAGTTAAGATTGGTAAGGTTTCTTTTTCTTTTTTTTCACCCCAACTTGTTTGCAGGTTAAAATATATTGCATATGTATGTAAAACAGGATTTTAGTGGGTATATATATTTCTCTGAGGACTTTATTTTTGATTAAAGACCTAGAATATTTTGTCATAGTTTAAATGACAAGATTTGCCCAAGGAAGTTGTAAATGCCCCCTCCCTGGAAGTGTTGAAGGCCAGGCTGGATGAGGCTTTGGGCAACCTGGTCTAGTGGAAGGTGTCCCTGCTGATGGCAGGGGGGTTGGAACTGGATGAGCTTTAAGGTCCCTCCCAACCCAAACCATTCTATGATTCTATGATTCCATTCTATGATTTTTGGTACTATTCGGAGCGTAAGATCAGCCGAAGTACCAGCTATTTTAATGATACAAACAGTAAACATAGGAAGATATCCCGAATTTCTCTAATAAAGAGATATTAAAAGCCTTTTGAATGTTGTATTGGTTTTCTAAATCAAGCATTATTTCAGGGTGAGTTTGCTGAGATGTTTATATTATCTGTGTGCGAATCAGACTCAGTAGTTGTGTCGTTCTTTTAGCTGTAACTGAACAAAACAAAAGACCCATTGGGAATTATAAAAACCATCGCTCATTCTGGTGTAAGTCCTTGCTGATAAACATGCAGAATCTGGCTGTGGGCTGACATTCAGGCCCTGTGTACAGACAGTTAAAAAGAATTCCTCGTGGTATGCATGGTTGATTTTGAATTCTGATTTATAAATGTGGCACTTTGGACACACTAATGAATGGCTGCTGCCACCTAATGGTTTTCAGCAGCTTGATTGGCTCTAATAACAAGAGAGGACTGTCAGGCCAGGTCAGAATCAAAACAAGCAGCTGGGAGAGCTTATGTGAGGACTTATCTGGGAAGTTGGCTGAGGAAGAGAGGCTGTTGTTAGAGAAGAAAAGTTACCTCTTGTTTGCTGACCTGTGACAAGGTTGGGTGTAGAGAGGTAGTTGTCATCCCTGGGGCGTTCTGTGCCTTCAATAACAGGCTCCATTTTCAGAGTCTTAGGTTGGTTGGGGTCAGTCAATTCTTTCACCATCAACAGAATCACATCCCCTCTATGAAAGGTCTTTGCTTGATTTGATCAGCCAAGGAGGGTTCCGTTGTGTTTTGATGTCCCCTCTATGAAAGGTCTTTGCTTGATTTGGCACTATCAGCCAAGGAGGGTTCCGTTGTGTTTTGATGTTCTAGAGCTACAGAGAGGTTTCATATGGATCTTGAGAAATGTCTGGGGACTGGCCCATGGCAGGATGAAATGTAGCAAATAAAGAGACTGCAAGATCTCAATATCTCCTGAACATAATTATAGAAAGGAGAATCCAGTGTCTGGTCAGATACAAATATTTATGCATCATCTAATAATTGAGATCCATCATTTCAATACTCTGCTTAGTATTTTGTTGTGTTCAAGGACAATGAAAACATTAACATATTCTGAAATAATTTGATTATGTAGATGTGGAGGCAAAGAACGGAGGAATTATGTTTTAAATTTTGGGCTGAGTTTGTGTATTTCTCCAATACTCCAGCTGGAGGAGTACACAAACCTTAATATCAGGTTTTATTCTAAAGTAGCCTTTCTCTAAGTTCATCCAGCATCAAACTGAACTACAATTAATATTTTTCAATGTCTGTATTTTAAATTGAATCATTATCATTAAAACAAATACTTACAATGAATTTTGTGTCTCATGCCAGGAATATTATAGAGTTCATAAATTCTTAATGAAGAACATCTTTATTAGACTATTTACACACACACAAAAAAACCCCAAACCACAAAAAAACACAGTATCTGAAAGCTTAAACAGTGTCTTACGTGCTCCCTAAATATCTTTGTTTTGGAAGGGTTCAGTAAATCAGTTTTTACAGGCATTGTGGACAAGAGTTACTGCTGTTTGCAGCTCATTGTTTTTGCAAATGCCTAGGAGGAACTGTAGTTATAAGCTGAAGGATGTTTCAGTTTGAAAAATTTGCTCCTGTTGGAGCTGTTAAGATTATAGGTGACAAATCAAGGATTTGGTTCCTCATGAGCAGGATACTTAAAGGTAGAAACAAGAGGCTGGTGAGGCAGAAGTAAGGTCTTTAAAGATGTTTGGGCAAATACACATTTTGGGGTCAACTTCAGATTTCTGATCCAATGTCACAACTAATGTTAATTAGTTGAGAGATTAATCAAAATTGTTTATAAGCAAGTCTGCTGTAAGAATGTGTTCTTCACAGCGCTGAAATGCATTGGCATTTACTGTGTCACAGCACCGAAGCCAGGCTTGGCAAGGGAATTGCATGACTTCTGCTCTGGTGTTCTTCACCTAAAAGGTTCCTGCTCTGGCAGGGGGATTGGACTAGATGATCTTTTGAGGGCTTCTGCTCTGGTGTTCTTCACCTAAAAGTGCTTGTGAAGTCGACCTAAGGAATTCCTAATGCCTCCTTGGAAATGACCATTCCCCTTTTCATATCTCTTCCAGCTCTCCTCCGTTCGCATGCAGGGATTGCTACTCCTGATCTTTGTGAAGCATGTCCACCTTCCTTTCATACGGGACGTTCATACCCACTACACGCGCACAGGCCTGTATGGATACTGGGTAAGGAAGTATCTGAGACTTGATTGCCTCCGTTACTTGTGCTTATGGTGGTGTGTGCCTCTAAATGGTTCCATGGTGGCAGAGAAGATAATTGGTTTACTTAAAAATGAATAAACTAACAAGCAGTGAGACTCACTAGTTTAAACCTTGTATGCAAGTGTGCAGCACAGACCATAATTTTACCACTTTATTAGCTGATGTACAACAACTTATGTTGGAAGAAATTGTGTTCATTTAAATCTACATAGCAAGATTTAAAAATTCATAGGTGGTGTGTTACTAGTTATGTTTGCAGATGTTTCAGAGAATGTTGTTCATCTTCCATACCAGGGGAACAAAGGAGGAGTCACCATTCGCATGTCCCTCTATGGTCATACAATTTGTTTCATGAACTGCCACTTGCCAGCTCACATGGAGAACACAGAGCAGCGGTTGGATGACTTTGAGAAAATTCTGGAAATGCAGTTTGAAGGAGAGAATATTCCAAGTACCTTGGATCATGAGTGAGTTGTTCAGACCCTGTTCTGTCTGGTTTGGTTGTATCTGTTACATGGTAAACGCGTGCCACTGAAGGGTTTTGATTTTGGAGTTTTGGTCCATTGTTTTTATTTTAAATGTCTTTTCAGCCTTGACCCTGAATCCTGGGAGGAGAAGATAACCTGAAAGATTGAGGTCTATTTTGCAAGACTGTTCTCTTCCAGTTTTGAATTACACTAAATTTGTTAACATATATTCTGCACGTGTAATGTGCTGGAGAGCTTTAGAAGTTAATACCCAGGCAGTAACGAGCAAGTGGCAAGAATGCAAGGGACTTAATTTACTATTTCAATTCCTTTGAATTTTTTCTTTAGCAGCAGGTTATCCCTATGGAAGCTTATCTGGTACTACTTAATGTTTGTGTTTAAGCTGTTTAGATTAAGTAATGTAAGTGATTAGAACACCTAATTAGCGTAATGGCTTATATTCTATTGAATTCTTCCCTTGTGTTAATGGGTTCCTATAAATCTTTCTTGTTTTGTTTTTTTCTTCTTTTATTAAGTGTTCTCTTCTGGTTTGGAGATCTGAACTTCCGGATAGCAGACTTTGGCATACATTTTGTACGAGAGTCAATAAATAACAAGCGTTACAATCTGCTGTGGGAGAAGGACCAGGTGTGTTGTCTTAATCTGTTTGGGGGGTCGGTTTGTTTATTTTGTTTTGGTTTTAATGCATACAGACACAACACAGTAGTTAAGGTTACCTCTTGAGTTTCTGATTTCTATTAAAGAGCACAAATTCAGAGTAGTTGTGAGATCTGGCTGTTCACTTCTCAGTCATAAGCTCCAGTTAACTGCAAACTTTCTCTGCTTTTGTTTCGTTTCTTAGCACTGTTTTGCTTACAGTGCTTATGTGTGACTGAAGCTTTCTTTGAACTTAGTGGCTTGTGAATTGTTCCTAACCTTAATTTCTTCTCCTTTTTTCTTCTCCCAAGTATTATTTTTAAGGGAAGCTTATTCTGGAATTTGTTTTGAGTAGAACTACAAAACTTCTAGATTGTGTCAAGAGTTCTGGCAGTAACAAAGAGGCACTTCTGAATTTACCTTTTCAAATATGTTGTACTGGCTTAGATGTTGAATTCTGATCTCCTTGCCCAATTGCCCTTTAAGCTCTGATTTTTAAACATAATCTTTAAAAGTTACTTTTTATTTCTGCAGTTAAATATGGCAAAAAAGAAGGAAGCATTTCTTCAGGATTTCATAGAGGGTCCTCTGCAGTTTAAACCCACCTACAAGTTTGACCTTTATTCGGAGGTATATGATACGAGGTAAAAGCATAAAAAGATCAGTTTAGACATAGAATATTAGAGTGAATGTGGTGCTTGACTAAATTTTAGTAAGTAAACTTGAATTTCCTGAGTGCACTGGTTAACTGGGGCTATGGAGCTATTCTGTTAGGCTCATTCAGTCATCAGATCTGAATAAATGAATATTTCTGGCTGAAGAAGCTTGAGTGCTGATTGCATGAGGAAAGTAGTGAAACAACTGAGCTTTCTATTTAGAAAGACTAGATTAACAGAAGAAACGAGTGCTTGTTTAAGCCACTTCTTTTTTGTTCTTTAATACTAAAAGTGCCCGTTGGTCCTCAGAAATGAGCAAAAGGATAAAGTAATTGTGATTTTTGTTTGCCTTCTCTATTTAAGCATTCCATTTGATACTGCTGGTATTTGAAAATTAATGTAAATGTGTCTTTATAAACTATTGTAAGTTGAAAATGAAGTAGCTTAAGTTTCCAAAGTTTTTCTCTTGACACTAAAGTTTGTTGTTAAACGTTAGTCTTATGTTTCAACAGAAGCCTGAGTTCCTGTCAGGGGTTTTGTACTGATTTTTTTCTTTACTTCCAGAGAGCAGAAGTCCCTGTTTTGGTTTAAGTAAGAAGAGAACTTTCTGGATTTCATAGATTTGTAAATATTTCAGAATCAAAACAATGCTCCTTCCCGAGCTTTTGATTTGATTTTTGTGAAATATTTGAAAATCAGATGACAGCTGATTTTCTTCAGGGATTTTCTGAACCTGTCTGAAAGCTGTAGTGTTATCTACTCTGCTGTTGCACTTAATATTGGAAATTTATTCATTTGGATCCAAAGACACTTTGCTCCCTAATTGAGTGTGAAGAGATAAAATAGGACCATCAATAAATCCAGTTAACAAAAATTACTTATAATAATCCAAACCTAGACATTCAAAGAATGATTCGTAACCTAATAGTCTGTATTGGCTCATTTAAAGAAGTGTACATTCTGCTGTTAAAGCTAGCAGAGATATTTTGGTCAGATGGGGGATGATCAGTAGACTTCAGCCCTTGAAAAGTGTGCTTTATGGGTAGCACACGGTATTTTGTTATCTTTGATACTTTTTCAATGTGGATTTGGGGGTTTTGTGTCTTGTTTAATACACCATTTTTTCTAAGATAGTGAGTGTATTACCTTAAGCTGTTTTTTCTTGCACAGCAGAGCAGACATATGGCAGCTCATAAAGATTTCTGTCGGTTTATATAATTACTGGAGTAAGTGGGATATGGCCCCTTAGTAATTTAAAATCTTCCCACCTTATTCAAGGTGAGTCAGACTTGTGTATGGGAAGGGGTAAAACAAAAGTATGTTGGATATTGAACTAAATGACATTTCTAGTTTAAGATGATTTTGATATTCAGAGTTATTAAACTGACAGTTTTCCTTACACATCCTGCTCATTAACTTTTATAATTCAATCCAGTCCATTCTAATTCCTCTTCCATAGGGTGTGATCTTTTCTCCATTTCAATTTGAAGTGATACATCCATACAGAGAGTTGCTGTTAAGTCTTCCACTACAGAGAACCACGAAAGGCTCTTATCTTCTGTTGTTATTGATATGGTATAAAAGGAAACTCTGAATTATGACTACAGTTTGATGTGTTGCACAGTTGCAGGTTGCAGACACAACTTTCTTGATTATGGAATTTTTAAAGCCTTTTATTATGAGACAGCAATAGCTTAAAGACTTGAAGTACAGGCTGGGACAAGTTAGAAGAGCTTTAAATAAAGCATTGCTGTGTCACCTGTGATTAGTATAAGCTACCTAAGTTTGTCCATTTTTTCTTGTTAAAAGAAACTTGTTCTCAAATGTTTTGAATAATTTCAAACAGTGTTCAGACTCTTTCCTTAAGTTTATGCCCCTTTTCTCAGAATGACTGTACATTTGAAGCATGGGGCAGTTGCTGCATTATCTCAATGTTCTTGCATGTTTTTATGGAGTGTTTTAGGAGAAAGTATCATTTCCCACATGAAGCTGACTAACCCATTGAAATGTCCTTTTCCCCTTCATTTTACTCCTCTCTCAGAAACCTGTGAAACTTACCTGTGGTAAATGTAGTTGGGTTCAAATTAAGGAAACATCGGTTTTAAAGCATTTTGAACAGAGCTGTAAAATGAAGCTTGGGTGTGATTGCCTTCTTTTATTAATATGTATCTGACAGTCTTTCAACTTTGAGTAGATTTTGCACAGTATTCTTAGCTTTTGACAACTGTTTTTCTTCTCATTTCACTTTTATCTTATGCTTTTTCAGTGAGAAGAAAAGAAAGCCAGCATGGACTGATAGAATTCTTTGGAGAATGAAAAATCTCTGCCAGAATGCATCAAAGGAAGACGAATTCTCTGAAGAACAGACAATTTCTGTTACTTTGAATAACTATATCAGTCACATGAGCTATGGCATCAGCGATCACAAACCTGTTACAGGAACTTTTGGGCTTCAGGTGCTGTCCCAGTTATGTCATTAAGAAAAAGTTTGTTTTACTAAGTCTTGCCTTACAGAAGCTGGTTTTCTAAACTTTGTAAGTCATAATCTCTGTTTCATTCCGATTACAGTGAAGGCAGCAAGCTGCTTTCAGGTTATTTCCATTCAGTTGAGTGTCCCACAGCAGGTGTAGTAGAGAATAACCTGAAAAGAATGAACTGAAAGAATGACAGACTTGACTGACTTTAAATTCTGTTCTTTTGTCCAGTTGAAGCCTCTTGTATCAGATCCTTTAATCACAGTAAATCCAGAGGGGGAGTGGAGCGCGGAACATGATGTTCTAATCAGCTATTCTGCTGTGCCTGATTTCCCAAGCAGTGCTTGGGACTGGATTGGACTCTTCAAGGTGATGTTACCACATCGTGGCTCTTTACTTTAGTGAAGGTGATGAATATGACTGGAGGAGGTGGTTGATAACCTCTGTCACAGGCCGCTGTCATTCTTGCCAGTGTAAAACTCTTTGAAATAGTCATGTATCCTCGATTGCTGCTGGTTTCTGCATGCTGACAGTTCAGTTACATAGCATGTGAGCTTTTTCACACCCTTTAAATTCTCTGCTAAGATAATGTGGTGATTTATTTAAGTAAAATGGTGCAGAAGCTGTGAAAAGGAACTGTCCTCCCCTAATGTCTGCAGTTTAAAAGATTTATACAGCAAAGAAAAACCAACAAAAATAAAAGGAAGTCAGTGGAGAAGGGAACAGGGCTCTTGCACCCTCTCAGGAACACAAGATTTGTGCATGCTCTCAAAATCTTTTGATCCTAAAAGTGTTTTAATTACTTCAGTGAAGTAGTAAACAGCTCTCTCACAACTTTGGATTTTCTATGTAGTATGGTTTTAGTTTCCTTCAGAAGGCTGATGGTTTGCATCTTTCTTTGCAGGTGGCTTTCAGGCATGTGAATGACTATGTTACTTATGCTTGGGTAGAAGATGATGAAATTTCTTCTAACAAAGACAGTAAACAAGTAAGCCAATTATATTTCTTTCTAATGCAGTTTTCCACAGAGTAGCATTCACAGTCTTTTTGTTCCCTATCCCCTTCCTCTCACGGGTTCTGTATCCTCTTTCCCAGTCAAAGCTAATGGAGAGTGATATTATTGTTTAAAATCTCTCTTCCTAATTCTTATTAATTTTCAGTTAGTGTAACACACCTTCTCAGGTGTGATCATACTGCTTAAGGGAATTGATGAAAAAGCCATTTATTCCTGTAGTGACTTTAATTGCATTAAAAACTCCTACCATTTTATATTTTGGTCAGTTTCTGACACTGAAAAAATAACTGACCATTTTTTTTATCTGATTGTCAAAGTTGCTCAATGTATCCTAAATATTTATTGTGTGATTTTTGTTACAGTTGTAAGTCCCTAATGTTACTAACCCAATTAGTTCCAGATATCTAATACAGCTACAGATTAGAGTTTCTTAGGCTTTTCTTCATTTTGGCTATTGAGTGTTTTGGTCCCTCTTTAAAAACTGCTGTCCTAGCTTTCTAGTAGTGATTACCTGAAGTGTTTTAAAACAAACAAACAAAACTTATATTGAAAACAAATTATCTGTTTCCAGAGGTATTTATCTGAACAAACAGAAATTCAAATTTAATTTTGGAGGCACAGTGAGTGCAAGGATGGAGGAGATTTTCCAGACAACAATGGAAAGCAGTTATTTCTTGTTAGAGATTTTGTAAGTTAGCATCACGTTTACAACAAGAGCCCAAATTGTATTGTATCAATATTCTGAATCTCAAAATTTCTCTGATACCATGCTTTCCTATCACTAACTTAAAAATTGCAGCACTATGAACATTGTTATATCAGGGTTCTGTGAGCTGCAGTTCAGGAACTTTAGGATCTTCAGGGTAGTACAAAACAGAGGTGATGGGTTTGCTCTGCTGTTCCATTTACCAGTTTATTGCCACCAGGAGGGAGTTCCTGTCCCTCCTTGCTGCTTGTGTGGCCTTGCCCCTTCCCTTACAACAGCTCTGGGTTTCCTCTCACTTGTTACTGAACCAGGTCAGCTTGCTAACATGGTGAAGGATATTCACTTTTCCTTCCTGACATAGTTTTCACATGGTTTCATGAGTTATTTCTGTCCTCATCCTTATTAGCTTACATTTAAAAAATTGCTTATAAATACTAAATACCAATTTTTATGATGTACTGAATGTCAGAGACTGCTTTCTCTGTGGAAGTTTCCCATTGCTTACTCTTATTCTTGTTGACAGGTTTACATGAGTGCTGCCGAAATACCTGATGTAGGAGGAGAATTTTTGCTTTGTTATTATAGCAATAATTTGCAGTCCATAGTTGGTATCAGCCAGCCTTTTCAGGTAATTTATTTGGAAGCTGTGATTAACGTTGATGTGGTTTTTATTTCTTTTGCTTTCGTGTGCATCTAAACGTAGGGGTGTGCAGCTGTATTAATCCTGGGGGAGGTGGCAGCAGGAGCAATTGCAAAAAGGTTATGTGCTGGCTAACATCCCGTAAAAGAATTTGCTGTTATGCTAAAAGTAGCTAATTTTGCAACACATTGTAATGAAGTAAGACAGGTTTCTCTCTCTTAGCTTTAGTTTTTGGAACTTCAGGCTCTGTCAGTTAGGTTCCTAGTTTCTGTAAAGATGAGAACTCAACTTAAATGCAGCCAAGTTTCTGACAGGTTGTAAGTGAGCTCTTTGTGCTCCCTTCTGTGATACATTTGCACAGAAGTGCTTCCTGTGTATTTACTTGAATTTAGGAAATACAGGACAACTGGAACTCAAGTTACTTGTTTAACAGGCTTCTTTGCTTAATTTCTGAAAGGATGACTTCACCTGCACAGGGTAGATGAAATGACCAGGCATTGCTGCTTCTACACAAGCACTTTTTGCCCCAGTTGTTTTGTTTGTGTATAACTTTCCATGCTGTGCTAATGTGTTGTAGAATGATTGAAGTGGAATTTCTGCATTATTGTTGGATGAAGGGGTTTTAGGGGACTATGAAACTCCATTACCTTAGGGGATACAGTAAGGAAAGTTGCTGGGCTGGCTGGTATATCTTATTGATACTGTTCATATTTTTATTTCTATATGGGAGAGAAACATTGTGGAGTCCAGTATTTCAGTGATCTCTGAGCTTAATATCTACCACAAGCTTTGCAGGATGGTTGTCAGTTGTATGTGGATACGACACACTGTGTGCCCTTCTTTTTGCCTGACACAATGTTTAGTGCTTTTTTACTAGATTTTTTTTTTAATTTCATAATTGCTGCATAGCTGCAACACTTCAATTTTCCCAGTTTCTAGCAAGTATGTAAGATGTTATATAATGTTGCAATGATGGTACAGAGCAACACAGTGTTTCTGAATGTGTTAATTTGTTTTTTAACTACTGTCTTCTAGATTCAGCCTAACAGAACATTAATAGAAACGGATCCGACACAGGAAGAGAACAGTTGGATGCAGAAACCTGACAATCTGGAATCGCATAATGAGTTCTGAAGGCAGAAAGAGCATTTAGTGGTCCAGATTCAGGAGTCAAATGATTCTTTATGTCTTAGTGATTGTAAGTTTTTACTCTTAGAAGATGGAGTAAGACAGTGCAAGTAAGACAGGTAGGGTTGTTCAGAAACTTTGTAAGCTCATAGAAGATAATTTATTGTGGAAACAGATATTTTTATTATTACAGGGAGAGGAACTCTCTTGCACTGGATGAGAACCATAAAAATAGCACCTGATGAATGCTGTATGTTTTAAGGTGATAGACTCTTCTAATACAATGATTTCACCTTAGTAAGTTGCAATCTGTAATAGGTTTTTAGACTTGCTCCTTTTTTGTAGAGGATATTTTATTTATGATACAGTGTTTACTATGCTGTAATCACTTAGTAATTGATTTCCAAATTTTGAGTTTAAATGAACTTATTTTAAAAGTTATTTATTAGATAGAGGTAGTTAGCTTGTTTTAAAATTTTATTTGACTTTCAAATGTCAGCTAATTGCCTTTTGGGAAACACGTGTGGTGACAAGTCACTTGAAAACAAAATCTTTGGAGTGTGTAAATTCTCCTTTGGAAGTAGATCCCTTTTCTTCATGCCTTACTGATAACTGTTTGTAATGTTTTCCATTTCTAATTTTTCCAGTTTGAGATACATTTATCCAAACACACTTTTCCTTATTTTTTTTTACTCTTCTTTTATAAAACAATTTAGCAATTTGCCTATTGTGTTTCTCCCTCTGATTTAAAAAAGTAAAATAAAACCACTTTTATACTAGTACCTGGCTTGGAGTTACCCAGGATCCCACAATTGCTGAAAGAAATTGCTTAAATTGAGAAGTGCTTTAGCATAGATGAGCAGACCACAGTTCATGAAGCACTTGTTGGCAAAGAGCTAACGATGATGGTATGAACCCCAATTATTTTCTGTTGTCATATTGAATTTAGAATTCTAAAGCCAAATTTAAGTACTTCCCTGATACCATCCTGCTACATAATAATTGCTACAGTTAATACAAAGATTATGAGAATTACAGATGGGGAATTACAGATTCTTTCCTATGGCATAATCTGTGCTACCAAAATTGTAAATCTCTTCAATTTATAGCAATTGGCCTGCAAAATTTCTGTTTCTCCAGAGATGCTTAGACCTTAATGTATCCTATGCACTTGAGGGTGGAGATGGAACAAGAAACATTATGTAACCTGAAAGGTAGTTAGCTTCAGAAATTGTTTTGTTTCTTGATGAGGAAATGGAGATGTTTGTAAAGGATTGGAAGAGGCACCAAGATTCCACAGAATCTCAGACTGCAGTGCCAGAAAAGAGCACTTGTGAGTCTTCCACGTTCTAGATACACACAGCTTCAAGCTACCTACTGTGTATGGTAAGTGAAGTTAGTTACTAACCCCTGTCATGTTGATTATGGATGGAAAAGAGAAAATCTGGTTCAGGTAGAAGAGCAAAGCAAAGGAAGTTGGTGTGTTTATGCTGGAATATTGCTTCAGAACTGAATGGATTCCTTTTTGCTTTTTTTTTTTCTCAAAAATCCTTAGTTTTTTCAGGATTCTCTTGAGATAGAAAGTTATCACTTTGATATGACCTTTGTTTTGCAGTTACTTGCTTGTATCACTCACTGTATAAAATCTTCTGGGATCCGGGCATCTTTGTATACTGTGGAAACTATAACCTAGGTTAACTGGTTAGATAGTTGCAGAGTTGGGATTAAGAACACTTTGCCTCTCTACATTTTATTTAATTGTATCTCAGCTTAATGGTTGGTGTTGGGAACTGTTTCCAGTTGGAAGTAGCGAGGGCAGGTTCAGAGGATGCTGTGTTCATTGCATGGGTTAAAACTGCCTTGAGGTTTACAGTTTGTACATTCCTGTTACACTTTGGAACAATATTAGAAACGGTTTTCACATTCGTACCAGTGTTAGAAGAATTTGTTTTACGCTAAATCTTTCAGATCTGTGACTTTTCTTGGCAATTAGGGCATCAGACAAATCCCTACGGAATTGCAAAGAGCTTTCAGTTCTTGAGTTGTACTCTGTTTCTGATTTTACTCGTGTAACTGTATTGCCATACTCCGTACAAGGAGATTCTGTGGAGAGCTCAAAGAACGGTGCTCTTTGAATTCCAGACCACAGCTGGCGATTTATTGTGGACCAAGATCCAGTTTCTTCTAATCAGGGTGCATCTGCTGTTCATGAGCAGCTCAGAGGGGGAGCCATACAGCTGCTGTACATGGACAAGAAACTCAAGATCCTTAATGTTGTTTGAGAGCTGATAACCCTCTCAGTCACTGGACAAAGAAGCTGCATTTTGTAAACTAATCCTTTGAACCACAGGACTTCACTGAAAATGCCCACAGCAGCTGTGATTGAATCTGCTTGTGTGTTAGTAGGATGCTGCACAGAACTGTATACTTCTTTCTTAAGTATTATGCACACAGTAGCACTTTTGTTTACTACTGTTACCTATGGTAGCTTTTCAAACTATTCCATGACCTGTAATGATGCAATTTCTGATGAAATTTATCTTTCTTAAAAACACCTTTCATTGGATGTTATAATCACTGGAAATGTTTTTATACTCATATGTTTTCTTTTTGTGTACCACTAAAATAAATCCTAGCATTGAAGTGTTCTACATGGCCTCTGTTAATTTGAGAATGAACACATTGGTTTGGGTGGGGAGGATTAATTTGAGCATGGTAACCTTTCTCCTGGAAAGTTTGGTCATGTTTAATGTTCAGATACAACAATATTTTAGAGTGGAAACATGTCAGTCATAACATATGCAGTGGAAACATGTCAGTCATAACATATGCAGTATGGCTTTGGACTGCAAAAGAAGGGCAAGGACAAATACTGTTTTTCTTTTGGACAAAGCAGATTCATCTGATTTTTTTTTCCCCTCATTTAAATGAGTCCAGTATGAAATGGACTTTGGATGTGGATTTTCTGACCCTCGGTCCCCAGTGAGGAGGTTTTGATATTTTCCTTGTAAAAATGCTCAAGCTGCTTAAATTACTTTTTTAATTCTAAAGAAGAGGTCCTTCTAAATTCACTTTTTCACAGTGTGATTTGAGATGTCTTTTTTTTTGTCTTTGTGAAGGATCTGCTACGTTGTACTTCTTATTTTAAATTTTGTATCTTTTCATATAAATTTGCTATCACGTAATTTCAATCTAAGGGTAACTTTTCATAATTTCCTGATGTTAGAGAGTTTATTTTAAAATAGGAAATATGTCTACCAAGGAATGTTGTCCAGTATAGCCTTATTTAACTTCCCTATATTTCTGATTCCTAACTAACCTCAGGATGTGCAGTGTATCACTGCACACAGATAGTACAGCTCTCTGTAAACAGGAAATATTTCTAAGATGTCTTGCGTGTTTGTTCGACCCTAAAAATACGTTCTGATAAAGACTATTGTTTCTGCTACCACTATTTCCTTCTCTGCTCTTGGACACTAAGTGACACTCAGATGAACTTGTCTTAATTAATGTACTGCAGTGTTAAAGGCCAGTTGAACAAAGCTTGAATTAGGTTTTCCTTGAGAGAGGAAACGATAGCTTTTTTGAGAACTCTGCATTACTAACAGGATTATTTCCAGTGGCCCTTTCTGTCCCTGGATATAGGAATTTGCTATTTGAAAGTGATTGAAATGAAGCGATTTCTTTTGTAATACTGAGATATAGAGATCAGAAAATGCCTGGTGCTCATTACTGCCTGAATACCAATAGTTATTTAACTTTCTAACTTATGCATTAAGCAGATAATCTCCTAGTTTCCTTACACCTGTTTTTTTCTTTATACCAATCTTGAATGAGAACAGAGAAAAAGATTCAGTTCAGTTGCTTCAACTTAAGAAAAGTCGTGTATATGTGTGTGTACATCCCCCCTCCCTGTATTAAACAGGAACTGTCATCTTCCCCTTACCAGGTCTCTGCAATTAAAAGTAAGAACATCTCATGTGTGCAATCTACAAAGTAGCGAGAGAACCTGTGTGGGAGTTTTTGAAGCCAAGGTTGGGAGAATCACTGGAGGATAACAGTGAAGTCAGGGGAAGTATGAGATCTGGAAATGCAAACTGGTGAGAGGAAACGCAGAGGTGTGGGAAAAATTCAGAAAATAAGAATGTACTAGTACCACAAAAAGACGAAAAATGCAATAGCAAACATTTTAACCTGTAACCATACTGACAGTTACCAAATACAGACATCAGCCCCAGTAGGGAATGTTTCAGCATCATTCATCAACTACAAACCTCACCCTAACTGTGGTGTTCAAGTGTACTGCTTGGTCTCCGCAGAGACCCCACCATGTTCCTCTCTTCCCTCTTCTATTTTCTTCTCTCTTTTATATATGTTTTTTTTTTTTCTTCAGCCTCTTTCTACTTTTTTTAATCCTTCTTTCCCTTCCCCTTGTTCTCACTTACTTGTAGCCCATTTTCAGAAGTTTTTTGCACATAATTCTGGTATCTGTGTGACAGAAATCATTCCAGTTAAACAGCCCTCTTCATGTTCTAGACTACTGATGTTTGTAATTTCTCTGTACAGGAAGGGTAGATAAGATAGTCTAGGTATTGCTCCATGGTAGTGAGTAGGGTGGTTTTGTTTAGGGAAGTGACAGTGATGGTTTTTCTAAATGTGATAAAATCTTTTTTTCAGTAGAACCTTATATTGGGAAGTGAGTGGTCAAGGAAACAATTGTTGGACTGGAACAATCATGTCTATAACAGCTAAGGGAAGTACAAGAATAATTCCAGATACAAAACACAGAACAGCGACAGGCCATTTCTTTTCAGTTACTGAACAGAAAGGTGCTCTCTGTATCTGCTCTTGAATGACCAGGTACTCTTTACTCTTATCATCCAGGTAGTTTTTTTTGACGACTGGTATCATCTGGAATTGGTTTGCAGTAGAGCTGAAAATTCTAATTTCGCTGTTCCAAGAAGATAGAAGGAATTCTCCCCTAACAGCAAATCTTAAAATTCCTGATATTTAGACTGATCTTTTTTTCTTCAGTCATTGTCAGGTTTATCTGCATCTGTTGGGGGTCCTGGATACTGCATTAATGGAAGATGTGGCAGGAGTAAAGCTCTGTGTTTGCACTTAAACCAGTGTTCACCAGATTATTTTTCTCATAGTAGGAATTTTTTTGCAGTAACATGTGCAAGTCAATTTCCTCTGTCATGATTAGTTAGCTACTCAAGGATTCAATTAATCATGATTTAGTTCTGCAGTAATTTGATGAACTTCCTGTAGTTACCGTGGAGCAATCAGTATTTTCTATTGCTCTGTCTCTAAACCAAGTGTCTTGAAAGTGAAGATGAAGAATGTTTTCTACATAAAACCTCTTAGTAGATTTGTAAAGTCTGCCCTGTGATTGTTTCGTGCTAATACGTATGAAATGGCCTCTGCAGTGACTTGACTTTTCTAAGTCCACTGGGACTAAAATGGAACATCAACAAAGTTTGTGGCAATAAACACCAACATAAATTTAGGCTTCTTGGAACTGTCTTGACACATTGTAACTAGTGGAAACTAGTCTTGAACTTAATTGTTGTTCCAGCTCACACCTACACTTAGTATAAATACAAAGAGATTCATCTCTTCCTCTCACAACAGGGCTCTGAACCAAAGACTGCAGTTAGTCAAGGTCTTCTCCCAGAGTACTTGGGGAGTTCTGCTGCCGTGCTTTGAAATCGGAACTCTCCGTAAAGAGTAGAGAGATTTACTAACTTACCTTGGAAAGATGGAACTGCAGATTGAATGTATTCCTACAGGAGAAATCATCCGTGTGGTTAGTCGCAATGGAGAACGCAAGACTGTAAGCCTATTTTTTATTGTTCTCTTTTCCCTTCTTGTAGCGTTACTTACACGGTAACGGATTTAATCACCGTTGTTCTGAAGTGAAAAATGCCAATACAAAACCAGGAGACTTTTGCAAGACTGGTTGGTCATTGGAGTGGCTGTAGCTGTGTTGTAGAACAGTTTTCTCTCACTAGGATGAAATTAGTAGCAATGAATGTTGATATTAAGTGGCTGTGAGTTTAGAAATTATTAAAGTGTATTTCCTGTAGAAAGATTTCAGTGAACCAGAGTTGGCGTGACTTGCAGTTGGTGTTTGGTCCGGCCATGTTAATTCTATCAGAATTCTGGAAGCACTTTCAAACTACAAAGGATTTGAAAGAGCTTTGAAAAAGAGTGTTTTGATCCTCTTCAGTATCGATTGTTCCTGTAGTCTCTGGATTCATGCCCTGAATGTTATAGGAAGGTTCACACATCAGAGATTCAGTGGTAGAGGAACATATTAATGGACTGTTATTAATATCTGGAGGAACTGAGTATTCTGGTAGTTTGGGATTTTTATTGACCTTGGTTCAGGGTTTGTTTGTTTGTAAGCAAATGGAAAATCCATGAGCTGATTATTTCAGGTTTGACGTGGTAGGTGTGAATAGTTAAGAAAGACACAGTAGTTTTCTAAGAATAATTTTAGTTTTCAGCACTTAGAATGAATGGCCATTCTGTGAGGTTTGTTTTAGAATATTTTCTAACTGGATTTATATACTTTTTAATTAAAGAAGTCCAAAGAGAAGGAAGTGTGTAAAAACTTTTTAAAATTTTGAAATGTACCTAAATGCAACTGAGAATTTATATCTCTTTGTCATAGGTACTTATAAACTGTTAATGTATCTTCAGCTGTGGTGGCAGATTGCTCTGGGCAGAGCCGTCTTGTGCTGAAGAACAGATCTGTGCCTGTTGCTCCCGTTTCCTCGCATTGTCTTTCTAGTAACTAATCTGAAACTCGATCTGAAAATTAGCTCAGACGTTTACCCCATGAATTACACAATCGTTAGGTAGAGTCATTTTACTTCAGAAAAACCTGAGAGTTCTGCCTTGTCCAAGAGGAGATAGTGGCAATTCTGGTATTCTTTGGTTTCCAATAAATGCTCCAGGATTGTTACTGACTTATTTGTAGTGACAGCTGAGAACACTGGTGGGACAGGCATTGTCTTTCCCAGAGGGAACTGTCTTCTCCCCAATAGCCAGTGCCAGGATCCTGGGGGAGACATCAGAGAGAGAGAGAAAAAAGCTATTAGTTCAGCTTTCTAAAATGTTTTAA